TTAAGGCCAGCCTGGTCTACATAGTGAGTTCCAGGACAGCCAGGGCTACAGAGAGAAATCCTGTCTTAAAAAATAAAAATAAGGTGGCTGGAGAGTTGGCTCAGCGATTAAGAGCATTGCTGATCTTCCAAAGGACCTGGTTCAATTCTCAGCACTCACGTGGCAGCTCATAACTGCCTGCAACTTCAGTTTCAGGGAATCTGGCAACTAAACACAAATAAACATGCAGGGAAATTAGTGCACATGAAATAAAAATAATGAAAAAATAAAAATAAGGCCGGGCGGTGGTAGCACACGCCTTTAATCCCAGCACTCGGGAGGCAGAGGCAGGCGGATCTGTGTGAAATCAAGGCCAGCCTGGTCTCCAAAACGAGTTCCAGGAAAGGCGCAAAGCTACACAGAGAAACCCTGTCTTGGAAAACCAAAATAAATAAATAAAATAAAGTAGAGATAAACAGATTAGACATAGTGATAGAAAGAAACAGTGAACTGGAAGTAAGATCTTATTAGGCAATATGAAAAAGGGGTAGGCAATGGTCACTTTGCAGTCAGCTGGATTGAGTTAAGAAACAACCTAGGCCATTCATGAAGCACGCGATTGGTTGTGTCTGAGGGTATCTCCAGAGAGGTTGGACTGAGGGATGTCCAACCCTGGTCAGGACTGGCTTCCTGGCTCCCTTAGGTTGCTTGTGAGGTATTTGGTCACAGTGATGAGTAAAGTAGCTGATTTTAGTCTGTGGCTGCTGTAACAAACAATACCACACACTGGACAATTTATAAGTAGTTGAGGCTGGTAAATCCAAATGACTAACATTTAGGGAAGGCCTCGGTGGTGTCCTTTCATGCAGTGGAAGAAATCACGTGGAGAGTGAGAGAGGTGGGGTGGGGGGTGTTTATAAATCCCATGATTACCAACCTACTCTGTGCTGTGACATTAGTTCATCCGTGAAGTAAGGGCCCCCATGACCCATTCATCTCTTAAAAGCACCCCCCCCACACACACACCTTTTTTGCATCGAGGATTAAGTAAGTTTTCAATACAAGTCTGCACACAATTGTAATCCAGGGAGGCTAAGACAGGAGGATCACAAGCCCGAGGCCAGCCAGGGACACAGAGTGAAGTTGTATTCTAGAAAAAGAAGCAAACAAAACATTTGTAGCATTTGAATCCCCAAATGGTTAGAAATCTCCATGTTTTGGTGTGTTGAAGGTCCCTTGTAAGCGCATGTGCTGGAACACTGTTCCCCACGGGTGGCGCTGTTTTCAGAGGTTCTGGAGCCTTTGGGAGCCACAGCTTAGCTGGAAGGAGTGGGTCACTGCAGGTGGCCTTAGGTGCGGTAGCTCAGCCCTCCTTCAAGTCCTGTGCTGCTCCCTGACCACCCCAATGAGCAAGCATCCTCCCGCCCTGCCCTTGCTGCAAGCACCCCTGAGACTTCCTCAAAAGGCAGCTAATATACCTGGACTCAAGATCCCATTTTAGCAGCAAAAAAAGCAATCTTGGCTGTATAAACCACAAATAATGTTTTAGAGATAGATACAGGCAGCAAAAATATTAAATACTGAATATGATGCATTAAAAGTTCATTCCCAATGAAGATCAATTATTAATGAAAACTGAAAGGTGGTGGAGTTAAACCAGTTACTTCCGGGAGTGGTGGCCCGAAGGCTCCTTAACTCAGCCGTCCCCGCATAAGAGCTACACTTCAGCGACCAGCTTACACTAGTTTAGAAGTGAACCTTAACTTCCAGGCCAGATGTGGCAACACAGGGTATTTTAGAAGGTGATCCTTGTTGGCCAGCATGTGGCTACTGTGCATGAAGTGCAGTGTCTGATCACCAGAACTGCACGGGAAAAAGAGAACCGAGAAAACACAAATTCAAACCACGAGTGCGTTAGGACTCACGTCTGGTTTAAAGAAAAACATTAGATTGAATTGTAGAAAATAAAAGTGGGCAGAAAGCTTTAAAATGAAAGTTGGGAAATAAATTGAGAAAACACTACAAGAAGTGTCCTGGGCACGTTAGCACTAGAGTTTTTGACAGCATGACAAGTGGCAAGGGGGTTACTGTGCGGCTATAAACAGCACATAGACTTTCCACGACGGAGAAAAGAGGGATGACAGTCGTTCCCAGGGAAGGTTTGTAGTCGGGAAGGTGCCATGTGTGTCACGGGAGCCTGGATGAGGCTGTGACTCAGTGAGGCTGCTTGAAAACTGGAGAAGAATTTAGCAGTATCTACCGAGTCGAAGGTGCTTAGCCTCAGCGTTTTTGAGAGGGAATACCCACAAAGGAGCCCACGAAGGTCGTGAAGCTTCGTGATGCTTTGCTTACATGACTGCTCTCTGTACGTAATCCGAGGGTCCAGCCAGAGAGCAGATGAAGCTAGGGTGAGGTCACTCTGCCGACCATGGCTCCAAAGCACAGGCCCACTCAGGTTCTCATGCTTTGTAGTGCCAAGTGGGTGTCAGTCCGGATGGCACACAAATACAGGTGGAACTCAGAGACCCGCCTGCCTCTGCCTCCCGAATGCTGGGATTAAAGGCATGTGCCACCTCCGCTAGTTGAGTAACGGATTTTTTTTAAAGATTTATTTCTATTTTACGTGTATTGGTACTTTGCATGCATGTGTACTGTGTATGCAGTGTCCGTGGAGGCCAGAAGAGGGCATTGGATCCCCTGGAACTGGAGTTATAAGTGGTTGTGAGCTACCATGTGGATGCTGGGAACCAAACCCAGTCCTCTGCAAGAATAAGTGCTCCTAACCACTGAGCCATATCCCCAGCCCCAGGGTAGAGGAGTCTAAGATAAACGCCACTGCAGTGTTCATGCACGTGTGCTGTGTGCATCGCATGCTCCTCATGCTCCAGCCCCTCCCCCCTTCTCTCCTTCAGGTTCCCTGTCCCTAGCTGTCTTGGCTGTGGTCCTGGGGACGGTGGAAATGTAGCTGTGTAGGGGTCTCTCTTGTTGGGATGGGTGAGCAGGCAGGGCCAGTTGGGGAGACTCCTGACCTGGCTGCAGGGGATGTGGGCGGGAGGCCTTCATCTATTAAAAGGCTAGGTGGCCTTGTGGTTGGAATTTTGCCATAGGCTATAAATAGCCAGTGTGAGAGTGTGAAGAAAGGGAGCCTGGGAGGAGAGAGGAAGTGGGCGGCCCCTGGGTCTCCAGCTGGCTGTAGGCTGGGTGTGGTGTGGGAGGGGTGTGGAATGTCACATGGGATGCAAAGCTTGCGGGCAGGCTTGGTGTGAGGCCTGGACTGGAAGGCTCTCCACAGCCTTAGGAACAGACGGTCAGTCACTTCTCCATAGCGTGGTTAGGTGGCTTGCCCCAGGCGCACAGCTGTGAAGATGCTGCTCTGTAGGGCTTGCTGTGAGCAGGCCTGGTCAGTTGCTCAGGTGACATCCTGAGCTTTTGGGTCCTACCTAGAGCCTTGACGTGGATTTCCCAGGAAGTGCAGAGGGCTCCTGCCTGACAATGGCCTGAGAGAGGAGCTAGGCCAGCCTCAGGCCCGCCCTGTTTATGTCCCCAGTGTGACTCCTCACCCTGAACAAGGGGCTGATGGTTGTCCAAAGGGAGGTGGATGCTCTCCTGAGCTGGAGGGTGAACCTAGGACACCGTGAAGTCCTGGGCTCCCCCTAAGCTTGTGTAGCCGGTGTGTGGCTTCATATTGAAGCCATCTGTTCTTAGCCCTTCCTTTCAAAATCCTTCCCTAAGCAGTGCACCCACAGGGCTCTGTCCTTGTATGTCTACCCCATCTGTTCGGGGTCAGCTTTCCAGTCTTGTGGGGGAAGCTGGGCACTAGGAGGCAATGGCGGAGGACACATACAATAGCCTTCTGTGTCTCAGCCAGGCACGGTAATGTATGTCTTTAATCCCAGCAGAGGCAGGCCGATCTCTGTGAGTTTGAGGCCAGTCTGGTCTAGAGTGAGTTCCAGGACAGCCAGGGCTGTTACACAGAGGAACCTTGTTTTGAAAAACCACACACTAATAATAATAATAATAATAATAATAATAATAATAATAATAATAATAATAATAATAAAATATTAATAATGTCTACTTCTCATACAAGTGTTCACGGTGCCGACGCTGTCACCGTGCCCTGGGATTGCTGGGGTTATTTTGCCCACGCTCTTTGGATGTGTCCGATAGTCCCTGCTAACATGGCTGCTGTTGTTCTGTGGGACTCCAGGTTGAAGAGAAGCAGGTCTGTACCTGGACTGGGTGCTTAGCTCAACTGCCAGCTTCTGCCACAGTAGCCTGGGGTATGTGGGCAATAAAGGTGCCACCCAGGCTCCTGGCACCTTTGGAAGCTGGGGTGCTGGTGGGCCGAGGAGCAGAGGGGCTGAGTTAATGCGATTTCCTTTAGGGTTTCTAGGGTTCTGGAAGTGAGGTTAAGTAAATCCACCCCTTGTTGAGAGGTCCTGTGAGGTACCAAGACAGCCTTCTTTGGTGCTGTGTGCTCTTTCTTATCCTACATCCGTAGGTTCATGGGGTCATTGTGGGCAAACAGTTGGGACCGTGGCTTGTTGGTCCGGTTGATGAGAAAGACAGATTGGGTGAATGGGGCTACGCTAAGTCGGAGCGTTCAGCAGTCTGGGTGGAACTTCTGTGGGGGAAAGAATGTGCACGAGTGGATGGAGTGTGTCTGGGGTGTTGGCCAAACCCAGCTGCAGAGTTGGTCTGTGATTGCAGCTTAGCCCTCCTGTCTGAGAGAAGTGCCCCTTGGTGACCCTGAACTTACCCCTTTTCAGAAAGCTTAGATATTCTGCAGTACCAGGTGAGCACCGGGCAGGAACAGTGCAGGAAGGCCCCTGATTACTGGCCGGTGTGGGCAGGGGACTGAAGAAGAAAGTCTAGTCTGGACTTCCTCCTAAGAGCTGTTAGATGTGTGGGTGGAAGGGGGTCAGCGTCGAGGGCAGAGGGGTGAGTTAGTGACTCCTACAGGCGCCTTCAGCACAAGCCACCGGCACCTGCTCAGCGTCTCTCCTCTCTGGGCACAGGGTCCGGGCGCGGGGAGGCTGAGACGCGGGAGTGTATCTACTACAATGCCAACTGGGAGCTAGAGCGCACCAACCAGAGCGGCCTGGAGCTCTGCGAGGGCGAGCGGGACAAGCGGCTGCACTGCTACGCCTCCTGGCGCAACAGCTCGGGCACGATCGAGCTGGTGAAGAAGGGCTGCTGGCTGGATGACTTCAATTGCTACGACAGGTGGGTCCTGCGCTGGGGCGCGCTCCCCTGCCGAAGCCCGCCCGTGCCCCTGCCGAAGCCCGCCCGTGCCCCTGCCGAAACCCGCTGTGCCCCTGCCGAAGCCCGCCCGCGCTCTCCACCCACCGAGGGCAGGATGTCTGAGCTGGAAAAGGCTTCCGAGGCAGTGCCAGGATCCCAAGCCCCTGTTCTGTGTTTGCTCTCCTCAGTTCAGGTTTCAGTGCCTGGCTGTGCCTGGCTGTGCCTGGCTGTGCCTGGCTGTGCCTGGCTGTGCCTGGCTGTCCGTCTTAGGCTTGGGTCACTCTGTAGGGGAAGTGGGCTCACCCACCTGCTGGTGTTCCCGGGAGCCCTGCCTTCCCCGCCCTGGAGTTTGTAACCTGGACTCTGGGCTTGCAGGCAGGAGTGTGTGGCCACTGAGGAGAACCCCCAGGTGTACTTCTGCTGCTGTGAAGGCAATTTCTGCAACGAGCGCTTCACCCACCTGCCAGAGCCTGGGGGCCCAGAAGGTGAGGAGCCCGTGGAAAGAAGGTTCTAAATGGGACACTCTGGAGCCAGGGGGGTGGTGGTTGCAGGCCCACTGGAGGGTTGGCGTGGGCGGGCTGTGTGACACAGGGCTCCATGTGTCCCCCAGTCACGTACGAGCCACCCCCGACAGCCCCCACCCTGCTCACGGTGCTGGCCTACTCGCTGCTGCCCATTGGGGGCCTCTCCCTTATCGTCCTGCTGGCCTTCTGGATGTATCGCCACCGCAAGCCTCCCTACGGCCACGTGGACATCCATGAGGTGAGGCGGTGTCAGCATGGGACAGGGCAGGGAGGAGGAATGGCTGGACAGACTCCCGTTAGCCCTTGCTTTCCCAGGATCCTGGGCCTCCACCTCCATCCCCGCTGGTGGGCCTGAAGCCACTGCAGCTGCTGGAGATCAAGGCTCGGGGTCGCTTTGGCTGCGTTTGGAAGGCTCAGCTCATGAATGACTTTGTAGCTGTAAAGATCTTCCCACTCCAGGTGAGCTTCTGGGGGGCATCCAGGCCATCTTCTCTCACTGCGGTAGAGTCTCAACCATAGGGGCCATCCATGCTCGCTCCTGATCACGTGGTGAGAGTCCATCAGAGGATTAGGGTCAGATGCTGCTAAACGTTGACCCATGTTGGTTGGGGTTTTGCTGTTTCTTCTGTGTATGTGACTTTCATGTTCATGTAGGCACAGGTGTGTGTGTGGAGGCCGGAGCTTGACACTTGAGTGTTTTCTTTTATTGCACTCCACCCCCCCCCCTTTTTTTTTGAGACAGAGTTTCAGTATGTAGTCCTGGCTGGCTTGGAACCCACAGAGATCTACCTGCCTCCACCTCCCACATGCTGGAATTAAAGGTGTGTACCACCATGCCTGGCTCTCCACCTTTTACAGATTTTTTATTTTTTGTAGTCGGATGTCTTTCTGTGTCCCACCTGGTCTCTGCAGCCACTCAGTCCCAAGTAAACACACAGAGGCTGACATTAATTACAAGCTATATGGTCTATGGCCCAGGCTTCTTGCTAGCTAGCTCTTTCATCTGAAATTAACCTATTTCTATTAATCTGTGTGTTGCCATGTGGCCATGGCGGTCTGCTGGCGTCTTGGGCAGCAGGCTGGCATCTCCCCAACTCCACCCTTCTTGTCTCTGTCTTCATTTGAATGTCCTGCCTAACCTTATTCTGCCTTGCCATTGGCCAAACAGCTTTATTTATCAACCAATGAGAGCAACACATATTCACAGTTATAGAAAGACATCCCACAGCACTTTCCCTTTTCTGTCTAATCAAAAAGGAAGGTTTTAACTTTAAATAGTAAAATTATAGATAACAAAACAATTATCAAGCAAGAATTACAGTTACAATATCTAGTCTATTTGTATTTGGTAAAATTAAAGAACATATTCTATCATCAATCCTATATTTGTGAGTCTAAAGTTTTATATTTAATTTACCTTTTATCATAACTAAGGAAAACTATAATTATAACTATCAGTCTTCAACTCCATCAAAGACCCTAGAAGGATATAATATTATCTAAGTAAACAGGAAGTGCATTGTGAGCAACTTCTAAAACTCTAGAAATGACAGAGACATCTGGCAGCCTAGACAGTCACCCAAAGTTCCTCTGCAACATTGGGCATCCATCTTCAGCCTACAGGCCTAGAGTCTCTGGCAGATTTTTTTAGTGAAGCAGGAAATTTGAAGGATTGTCTCACCTATTGACAAAGTTCATCAGTCGCTTTCCTCTGTGTCCTGCAGAATGTCTGGCAGTATCTTCTGTGAAGCAGGAATCTGAAGGACCATCTCACCCTGTTTAGGCAAAGTATAGTGGTCATTTTCCTATGGGTTCTGTATGTTCAGTTTATACAACGTACTGTCAAGCGGTCCAGGCAAGAGCAATTTCTTGCCCTAATGGCCAGTTTTGCCAAGAAGAAGATAAACTCCAATATGGAGTGTCTTTAATGCCCATCTTCCTCTTTGAAGTAAATTGGTCCTGCCAGAAGCAGACTTGTCTAACTGTCTAGAAAAGTCTAAGTTTTGAAACATTTTAAATGCCATATTCTGTAGGTCTTTGAAGTATTTGAAAATTACCTACCTAATTGAAATATATCTATGTATACTTAGAAAACTTAACTAACATGACTATTGGTTTGCTTATCATAGATGAATAATTATTAATTTGTATTTCTTAATTATACATTACAATTTTAAATGAATTACATAAACATAATACCTTAAACAAGAATTTATATATATAGTACATATACAAGAAATATATATATATACAGTATAACAAAATTAAATTTGTATCAATAAGCTAAAATCAATAGCAATGTGAAACATTTCAAACAAGTTGTTGCTCTTTAAAAGTAGATTCAATAATCTACCCTTTCATCCTATCATATCTGTATCTCTTTTTCTTCTTTAGAAAGAGATTGCATTTATAATTAACCCCCTTTAAATAAAAATAAACTTTTATAAATAATATTTTGAGAATCTGGGCATAGCTTTTCATACGAATTCCTGCAGATTGGGGGTGCTGGCAATCTTATGGGGATCCTGAGAAAATTCAAGATAATGGTCAAGTCATGGGAAGACTGGCTATAACCTTTGTTGATAGATACCATTTGTCAAGGTTCAGGAGGTCTCACTTGATCAGATCTGATCCATCTTAACCTGGAACAAATCCACAGTTTCTTTCTTCCTGTGGAAACAAAAGCAGAGTCTCCTTTCCAAAGCAACATATCCTTAGATCCAAATTTTGAATTCAAGATACTTTTAAAATATATCTCCTCCCCTTTTAAGAGGTCACATACAATGGCAACAAACACTGCCTCCTTTGGGCAGTATATAGCCCAAGCTATATATGGGCAGAGCAAATATATATATATTTATTTATTTATTTATCTATTTATTTATTATTTATACAGTGTTCTGTCTGCATGTATGTCTACTTGCCAGAAGAGGGAACCAGATCTCATTATAGATGGTTGTGAGCCACCATGTGGTTGCTGGGAATTGAACTCGGGACTTTTGGAAGAGCAGCCAGTAGCCAGTGCTCTTAACCTCTGAGCCATCTTTCCAGCCCCCAAATTTTTAATTTTTATTTATTTTTAATAAAAAATATTTATTTTTATGTGTGTGTGGGTATTTTGTCTGCATGTATCTGTGTGTACCACATGCATACTTGGAATCTGTGGAGGCCAGAAGAGGGTATTGGATCCCTGGAACTGGAGTTACAGACAATTGTGAGCCTCCATTTATGTGCTGAGAATTGAACCTGGGTACTCAGGAAGAACAGCCAGTGCTCTTAACCCCAGAGCCACCTCTCCAGCTTCTTACTTTTTAATTTTTTTCGAGACAAGGTCTCTCACTGAGCCTGGAGCTCACTGATTGGATAGACTAGTTTGCAAGCAAGTCCCAGGGATCCTCTGTCCCTGCCCCTCCTGCTTCTAGCACTGGGTCACAGGCTGACATACACTTGACTTTATGTAGCTGTTGGAGATCCGAACTTGGGTCTTTGTGCTTGCCAAGCAGGCTCTTCACCTCCTGAGTCATCTCTCCAGCCCCTGAGTTTGGTTTTTGACATTATGATCTCCTCAGAGGCTTCAGACCCAGGCAATCCAATCCCAGTAGTTGTTGCCCAAGACACTTAGAAGGTCGAGCACCTGCTGGCTGGCACTGGACACCCCTCTTGGTGTTTGTGATCCCGTTTGTAAATCAGGGTGCTGGTGTCAGCCACCTCAGAGGTTGTGGTTGGCCTGGTTCTCCAGATGCCTTTTGCAGGTGCTGGGGCTGGGAAGCCAGGGACTGGGCATAGAGATGGGTGTGTTGGGTGGCTGTGCCGCTGTGGGGCTCTGAGAGGCAGGACTGAGCTGCCTCCCTGCCTCAGGACAAGCAGTCGTGGCAGAGTGAACGGGAGATCTTCAGCACCCCAGGCATGAGGCACGAGAACCTGCTGCAGTTCATTGCCGCCGAGAAGCGAGGCTCCAACCTGGAGGTGGAGCTGTGGCTTATCACAGCCTTCCACGACAAGGTGAGTTACCCCCACCAGAGAGACCCCAGTGAGACAGACAGTTCTCATGCCCCTGCCTGCGTCAGTGCACCTCTCTCCCCCAGTCATGTCTACGGCAAGACTCCCCACTCTGCCCACTCGGCACTTTCGCAGTGAGATGTTCCTCCTGGGACTTGGCTGGGTTGCATCTCGTTCTGCATTGGGAGCCTTTGCCCACAGTCTGTGCTGCCTTCTTTTAGGGCTCCCTCACGGATTACCTCAAGGGGAACATCATCACGTGGAATGAACTATGTCATGTGGCAGAGACGATGTCACGAGGCCTCTCATACCTGCATGAGGATGTGCCCTGGTGTCGTGGCGAGGGCCACAAACCTTCTATTGCCCACAGGTATCTGGATTAAGGAGGCCCCCCCACCCCCCCCAACCCTGATATGTGCTGGAGTTGCCCAGAGGGCTGATGTTGGACACCAGAGGTGCCTCCCCTTCCTGAACGTTTCTGTGGTGTGTGGGAGCAAAGCTGGCCTTCCCATGTGCTGGGGATGGCTAGCTTTCCATGTCAGTGTTCTGGAGCCCTCTACTGGGCACACCAGGAAGTGCTAACTCCTTTAGGAGAGCTGATCTCAGATTTTGGTCAAGACCATTTTGTATCCTTAAAAGGACTCTATTTATCTAATCTATGTAGGTTATGTTTGCTGATGTTTACTGGTGTACAGCACGTGTGTTTGGTTATGTATCATGATGATGACATTATACTGGGATTGAAGGCAAATGATACATTATTACAAAAATGATTTGACCTCACAGGGCTCTTAAGACTGTCTTAGGGAGATTGGGGATTTAGCTCAGTGGTAGAGCGCTTGAAGGCCCTGGGTTTGGTCCTCATCTCCGACAAAAACAAAAAACAAACAAACAAAAAACCTGTCTTAGGATCTTTTAGGACTTCTGAGCCATATCTTTTTTTTTTTTTCAGACAGTGTTTCTCTGTGTAGCCCTGGCTGTCCTAGAACTTGCTCTGTAGACCAGGCTGACCTTGAACTCTGAGATCCACCTGCTTCTGCCTCCCAAATGCTGGGATCAAAGGCATGTACCACCACCACCCAGCCATACTTTTGTTTTTTGAGTTAGCGTTTCTTTATGTAGCTCAGGTATCCTTGAACTCATGACGCCTACAGCCTTCCAGACTCTGGGCTTATAGACATGAGCCATCATGCCAGCCTTGAGTCATTCCTTAAGAGCCACCTAGTTAACTTGGTACTGTTGTGTGCTATTAAATGGTACACAGTGGAGCTGGGTGGGTAGTGCACACCTTTAATCCCAGCACTAGGGAGGCAGGAGCAGATGAATCTCTGTGAGTTCAAGGCCATCCTGGACTACATAGTGAATTCTAGGTCAACCAAGGCCACACAGTGAGACCCTTCTCAACCTCTGCTGCCCCCCGCCCCCCCTCCCCCCCAAGAAGACACTGTTCCAAAAGCTCAAGAAATGCCAACTCACTGAACCATGTTCCGGGAGGTGAGGTGGAGCTGTCCCTGGCCCCACCGCACAGGTGATGGAGCAATAGTTGATGCAGCTAAATCAAGGCCCCACACTCCTTCCGTCTGGTCTGTGACTGACGGAGGGGCTCCTGGTGGTGTTGACTCTTGCATGTAGTTCAGCCTAACAACAATGCTTAGGAAATGTTGGGGTGACCAGTCGAATCTGTAGTCCTCAGTTTAGTGTTCCCAGCAAGGCTGCAATAGAAGCTGGGAGAACTGAGGACCGCAGAGCTGAGAGCCTGCACGCACTCTTGCTGGAGAACTGAGGACCGCAGAGCTGAGAGCCTGCACGCACTCTTGCTCTGCTCTGCCTGTGCAGCTTTGGCAAGCTAATTTTAAATTCGTGCTCCTTTCCAAATATTGTCAACTTCTCGGAAGACTCATGTGCTGTGCCCTCTGAGAACTTACTGTCCGGCTTTTAGAACTGTGATAAAGGGTCTGCCCAGCTACCGGGATGGGAGCTGCTTGCAGGCTCCAGCAGAAGCCTTCCGGAGAAGGCAGGTGAGGGACTCCCCAGCAGTTTTGCCTCCTGCCCCAGAGAGTTGCGGATGGTTTAAGCTGGGAGCTGCAAACCCCAGCTCTGGTACTTTGAGAGCCATGTCAAGAAGAGGATCGTGATCCGTCGTCGACTGGAGGCAGGCTGGGTCTTGATGCTGGGCTTCAGCGAGCCTGTTGGTTTCCACAGGGACTTCAAAAGCAAAAATGTGCTGCTCAAGAGTGACCTCACTGCTGTGCTGGCAGACTTTGGCCTGGCCGTTCGGTTCGAGCCAGGGAAGCCTCCAGGGGACACCCATGGGCAGGTAAGGAGTCAGGGTGGCAGGAGTAGGGGCTGGCATAGGGCTGATGCTCAGGGCACAGCTGGGGCGGCTTTGGAGCTACCCGGGAACTTAGAACCAGGGCTCTTGTCTCACCAGCTGGGAAACCAAGGCCTGGAGGTTGGTGACGCTTCCTCTGGCCAGTCAGCTGAGCAATCCAGGTTCCCCACTTGGGCTTCAGCGGCTCCTCCTTGTATGTCTTTCTCTTTCTGTTGTAATAATTTATTTTTAAAAAATATCTTTAGTGTGTGTGTGTGTGTGTGTGTGTGTGTGTGTGTGTGTGTGTGTGCGTGCGCGCGCGTGCGCGCAGCGCGGTGTAATTAGGGGACAACTTTAGGAAGCCAGTTATCTTTTTCAGAGCAGGTGGGTTCCTTGGATTGAACTCTGGTTGTCAGGCTTGGCAGCAAGCAGCTTTCCCACGGAGCCACCCACCTGCCCTCAGCTGTAATTACTAAGTGAGATGAAATGAGAGGAAAGGTGCTGAGAATCCCAACCAAATGCCTACAAGAAGCAGTAAAAAACGAAGCCAGCAAATCATTCTGGAGAGGCACTTGGTGTTTTTAAATGTGTTCTCACTGTTTTGTTTCGGCCTCTTAAATGTTGCTTTATTTCCGTACTTAGCATGTGTTTTCCCGTTTGAATGTGGAAGCCTGAGGTAGTCTCTGGGCATCTTCCTTGGTCATCTGCCACCTTGATGTTAAGGCTGGGTCTTCCGCTTGAGCCTAGAGCTCACCAGTTGGTCCAGCCAGCTGGCTTGGGGACCCCGCTCTGTCTCCCAGGTATTGGTGTTGCAGGCAGGCTGTATTTATGTGGGTTCTAGATATCTTAAATGTCCCTTTTCACACTTGAGTGACAAGTACCAGAGGCGCTAAGCTCTCTCTTCGCTCCCTTGTTTATTAGAGGGTCTCTGTGTAGTTCCGGCTGGTCTGAACTCTTGACTCTCTTGCCTCACCATCTAAGTGTCTGGCTTGCTTCAGGTATTAATCTTGTAGAGTCCAAAGCCTCAGAATAGCTTGTTGGGATGCTCAAGGACCAGTGTAACTATTTCCTCAGTGCTGTCTCCAGTTTGTGATATTTTTACAGTTATCATCAGATGGAATCTTAACTCTGATGGAGTAGGGCTTTGCCTCAGAGGCTTTGTGTTTTGAATCCCTCTCTCTTCACCTGTCTGTGCACACAGGCTACGGTTCTCCCGGCTTAGCGTGTGTTTGAGTGGTCTCTGGAGACCCTGTCCTCCCCTGTCTTCATGTAGGTTGGCACTAGACGGTACATGGCCCCTGAGGTGCTGGAGGGAGCCATCAACTTCCAGAGAGACGCCTTCCTGCGCATCGACATGTACGCCATGGGGCTGGTGCTGTGGGA